TTTACACCTAAAATATTTTTGGCCTAAATTCAATGCCGTAATATGGCCAAAACGATGTCGTTTGGAGTCGAGCAGTACCGCGGAGAATTTAAGCGAGACCGCGAAGAGGCACGGCGGTACCGCGGTACTTGAAACGACATTGGTTGCAGACCATGTGTGAGTCATGCGCAGGACATGTGTTGCTGTTGGACAAGGAATGTTTTTTATTTTTATTTTTATTTTTCCTTGTCGTAGGAGAGTAACAGCACCGTTTGGAGTCAAGCAATGCCGCGAAGAGATAAAACGGTGCCGCGAACCTCAAAGCTCGACGGCATCGCGAGACCGGGAAACGGTGTCGTTTGGCTAAAAACGGCATCGCAAATAAACCCAACGACACCGCGGAACAGAAAAGCGGTACCGCAAGGAAGCTCAGCGGTACCGCGACACCGCCGGAAAATAAGATGGGGCCGCGCGTTTTGGTATTAGTGTTGGAGAAGGAGTTTTTTCTCTAATTAATTATTATCTTTATTCCTTATCAGAAGGGGAAAAAACGGTACCGCATGGAGACAAGCGGCATCGCGGAAAATAAAAACGGTACCGCGGATTTTAAAACGATGCCGCGGGAGGCCTTGATAAGCGGTGCCGATTAATTAAAAACGGTACCGCGAGTAAGCCCAACGGTACCGCTGTATTAGCAAACGACAGTGTTTAATATAAAACAATGTCGTGGAGTAAAAAAGCAAACAGAGCTGTTTGGGGAAGAAAACGACATCGCGTGAGATTCACACCAACCAGAACGAGGAGGAGATCAAGACGGTTGAGACGCGTGGGAGTTCACAACGGAGCAGTTGAGGAAGCGGTTCTACCTAGCGTGAAGACTACGAAGCTGTTTTTTGAATAAGAGCAGCGGAGCAAGGAGAGAGAAGGACAACAAAATCAACACAGAACAACTCTGTCAAACTTATCTTTTTCTCTGTAACTCCTTCGCGGAGCTCTCCTTCCAGGAAGGATCTCCATAGTTGGTAGAAGTAGTCGTAGTCGCGGAGCTCTCCACAGGAATCTCCATAGGAGTAGCGGTAGCGTAGATTCCCCAAAACTCAAACACCCTCGTTCGAACGTAGTTTGGAGAGGTGCGAACCGTAGTAACGGTCGCGTTGGTTAGAAGTCAGAGGTGCATCGATCAAATCAACATCGCACGGCGATGGATATTTGACGATTGTCATCGTTTTCAGAAGTCAGAGTTGCACCGATCAAATCAACGACGCCAACATTCGGCGGCGGATATTTGACGGTCGTCTCGATTTCAACTATCAGCGGTGCATTCGATCAGCGGCACCGCAAGAGTTTCCCTCGCGAGACATCAAATCAACATCGCCGGAAACGAATTCGGCACCGGCGGTGACATTTGGTTTTCCCGAGGAAACACCAAATCAAACCAAACTGTCAAACCGTGGTACATGAAGTATAAGGTTTGACGAAAACAAGGATATCTACAAAGTAATACGGTGCACATACTCACACCCTACCAAACTCCTCCTTAAACGTTCTTCGTTTTTGTAGAGACCAATGAAACTGCTCATAGGGAGAAAAAATTAATAAAACCGTCACTCTTACGTTTTACCCTAACAAACTCACGAGGTTATTCTATTTATGAAAGGACATTAATTACAATGAGCATATGAGTTTTCTCAGGTTACATATATATGTGTGTGTGGCATGGCTGCAAGCCTGCAACAGCTCGCACATCCCGTTCAACAAGAAATCACAAGGAATTTGAACGTACGTGACATAGACCACCATGGTTACAAAGATGATCAGGAGCTCGCATTCAGGGATGACGACGACCTTCACGACACTACCGATCATGCTCATTGCATTCCTCCTCATAGCACCCTCGATGTCCAGGCTTCTCGATGAGGACCCCGACCCGGACACCTACTATATGACTCCGATCAGCGACTATGATCTGAAGAGTAGCCCAGAACTTAAGAAAATGGCTGAGTATGCTGTGGCGGCGGAGAACAATAAGAAAGCCCCTAAATCGGATATGTTAAAGTTGGTGAGCCTCGACAAAGGGTATCATATGAATGCTGGTGAGGACTTTATAAAATTTGATTTACACATTACCGTCTCCTCCGCTCACCTCGGCCAAGCAAAATACAAGGCGGTGGTCTTTGCCGGAGTCGGAATCGCGGAACCTGATCATCAATATGATCTCGCATCCTTTACGCGGTTATAAATTAAATTAACCGAGCTATATACATAGCGTTTGTCATAATAATTACCCATAATGAGTTACTGCAATAACAATCGTAAAAACTTGAGTTAGTATTCTGTGTTGAGAGTTCATAATGTTCTTCTCACTCTACAAGTCAATTAAAATATACAGTGCGGTTATTGGTTTTGATACTTGAGTTGATGATAATTAAGTTTGATCATGACTTCTTCCTATATTATGATTAGCGATGTAACAACTAACAAGCACAACATATTCCAAATGAACCAGAGACAGGTGGTGACGATAAGCCACAAAATTATCATACTGCGACCCGGGCCTGACTAAGACGGAGGAGGGACGGTTTGGGTCGAAACTTGTAGTGGGCCGGGCCTCACTAAGACAAGGTGGGCATAGGCGCACTGTTACAGGCCTTAGTGAGCTGGGTTTGTCTCTCTTCTTCTGGGTGATTGAGACTGTTCCAAAAATAAATCATTGGTGCGTAAACGATGCTATCGCCGGCGATGTAAAACTGGTCGTGGAAGCACAAAAAAGTTGTGACCGTTGGAATGGAAGAATCAATAATAATTATCGCAACGTCATATCAACATTTATTTTGTTTATATAACATGATTGTATCTTTGCCCATATTTTTATTCTTCCACCCCCAACTAGTAAGAGCGATTAGATGTGCAACCGGACTGCGTTATATAACAAGAGCCGCGAGACATGGAGCCTCACCTAGCAGTCTAGCACTCGATCGAGAGATTGAAGGAATTACTAGTGTTGCGTTGACCTTTCTCACCATTCATCTCGTAAAAATGTTTGTTAAATCATCTAAATATTATGTGATAACATGTAATATGCATGCACTTGGGTAAAATTTTGTTCTAAATGAATCCCACTCTTTAGACCATCTCTGATAAAAGTTCCAAAATGCAAAAAAATCTCAAAAGACCACCTCCAATATCAGTCCTAAAATGCTAAAATGCCAAAAATTGGGGATTTGAGTGCGTAATTAACCACCCACCTAATGAGTCGAACAGAAATTAGGTTAGGGTTAATAGGCCCAACGTAGTGGTTACTTTATGGCTAACAAGTGAAGGGAGCCTAACTTTTTTCCATCGAGAGCTGGCATAACGTAAAAACTAACTACGCGTCCTATTTAAAGGAAGGAAGCCAAGCTAGCTACCTTATAGATAGAGTGATAATTAAGCACAATCATAAGAAGTAATTGCGAGCATGCCCTGTAAATTCGACTGACATTGTCAAATCCTCTTCTTCTCCTTCTCATCATTAAACGTTAATCAAGCTCGCCATTTCCGACCAAAAAAGAGAAAACAAACTGACTTTCCTTTTCTCGGCCTTGTCAATCTTCCACTACCACCAAGAAAGTGTCCTCACTTTTCTCAGTTTTCCTCATTCTGCTCACCAATGGCCTTTTCGTTACTTCTTGCCAACCTCTTGGTCACTGTGGCATAACAACAATGTACAACTTGGGAGACTCGTTAACCGATACCGGGAACGCTCCGTTGGAGTTCCCTCACAGTCCTTTAAGGCGATTCCTGTACGGCATGACAGTTCATCAAGCCACGGGAAGGTTTTCCGATGAATACCCCTTCATCGACCAAATAGGTACGTAATCTAACTGCATGCATGCTTGTATCCTAATTCATCCATGTTTATTTCATTTATGTTCCATGACTCTGATCATATAATCTTAAACTCTAGTTGATACATATGTGTGTGCGCGCGCATATACGCCTGTATATTATCGATGGATGAGAGAGACAGAGAAAATGTGAGGACACTTTCTTCTTGGTAGTGGAAGATTAACAAGGACGAGAAGAAGAAGTCATTATGGTTGTTTGATTTTTTTCAGATTGACAATGGCTAGCTTGATTAGTGATGAAAAGGAGGAGAAGAACGATAATATATGGACAAAGTAGTGAATTCATATTTGTATACTCACTAAACTCATATTGCATGTGTTATATAACATATTTGTTGGCTCACTAGACTCATATAACATTGTGCAATGTGTAGCAATTTGTGGCGTTATGATCATTGTCACCTTTGTTCCACTCAGCGCCATCATATTGTGTTATATAACACATTTGTTGAACCCTCTCATAAATAAGCAAAATCATCTAAATATTATGGATAATATGCAATATACATAAAGAAGACTATTAAACTTTTTTCTATAAAAATGGGAACTTTGGACCCCACTATTTACCACTTCGCTTGACGCTCCAATGTACCCTTGTGATGAATATTGGACATGAAATTGAAGTTAGTATGAATGAGACTATCTGAGATCACATAACATGCTTGGAGCTAGCACTACACGGTGTGAGGAGATTATACTAGTTAAAATGTCGACTCTTTCAAAATCCACCACCAAGAACAAGGTGAAGATTTTTGTGTTTGTAAACTAATCATCACTTATAGTTATGGAGCCATTAAAGTGATCGTGTTCAGAATCTACCAAGGTGAAAATGACTATTGGGTCATGGTACATAGATACGAAAATAATGACAACTTTGACTAACGATTCAAGAATTCATTTTGCTCGTCAACGAAATTTATTGGGCGGAGGAAAAGTGGCATGTAAAACCTAAACGAGTATTGGTTTTGGGATTCTATATACTTCACCAGCTTAATCCACCGATTGATGTCAACAAAAATCATCCCACAAATATCTGGTGCTATTGATTGTGGTAAAAGGGTAATTTGCAATCAACTAAGGCGTAAATTATGGCGATGGAGACAATAAAATTTGGGCATTCATTATCAAATAATTCTAGCCAAGATGGTGAAGGAGATCCTCATATGGAAGTTCAACTCTTACATGAAAGCTCAACTACTGAACATGATTAAAACACCAATTCAAGAAAATGGACACATCTAATTTAGAATCCTCCACCACTGTCACGGGTACTTATTCAAATCCCCTGCCTTTGCCATCAGTTTCTGGATGCACAAAGACAGACAGGGTCAATATGAGATGGAGATGAATGATTTTAATGAAAAGATCTTGCTCATTACAAGAAAAATAAAAAGCTTCTCTTTGTGCGCATACCCTTTAACTGGTTCAATGCAGAATCACTCCTTAGTTCGAGTTGGCGTTTTCTTGCATCGTCATACCAAACCATTCATCGGCCCACGAAAAGATGTTTCGATTCTATCCATAAATAGAGCCATTCACAAGTTTACTCCTCTTCTGCAAACCACATACACTCCACATCAATATAAGATAGTAGAAGACTAGAATGTGCTGTGAAAGTACATGGTGAATAATTCGAAAGTGGGAATTATACCAACCTGCCATGGACCACGACCAGTTCTAGTCGACTTGAATTAAGTGAAGTATGTAGTGCTGCTTCCCACGCTGTAACTCCAGTAATCACTTGCTGCTAAACTATATCAGCAATCTTAACCTTAACTTGCCAGTAGCTGTTCTTCGTTTAACCGTGCACCTATATCTACATGGTTGGTTCACGGCAAGAGATGCAACAGATAATGACAATACCAAAATGAAGAAACTAGCAATGGCATCAAGAATTTTAAGCAAAAGAGCCCACATCTCTGACTCTCCATTGTCAGCTTTATGAATTGTTTCCACAGTGAGGAACTTGCTGAAATAAATTGGGTATGCTTAGCTAGGACTGATGACTGAAAAATGTTTGAGGGTTTTGGAGGGTCAGTTGTGTATGTCTTGCTTTCAAGAATCCGTATTTCCATTTTGGTCATCATCAGCCCTTGTATAAGAAAGAAAGGCAACAGGAAAGAAACTATGTACCCACCTACCTTCTCTATATCCTGTGCTTCTACACATAACTAAGTTTATGCTCTTCCCGAAGTTAAAGCTGTAGCAAGCATGAGAATCTTCATGTTACCAACCACATGCAAACAAGCAGCTCTATTTCTAGAGTTACAATTACAACAGCAAATGATGTGCTACGTATGGCTGTTCGAAGGGTTGTTAAGTCATGCAAATCATGTATTGTCTAGGAATTAGATAAAGGAATCACCCATCCATGAACTTACAAATTTCACAACTTAGTAGTAAACTAAGCAGATACCTGTGTGCTCGAGTTCGAGATTCCATCTCACCGGGACTTAGGTCTCTGCAAAATCTCTCTGCATCACACGCGTGTTCCTAAACATAAACTCAAATGATTCCCGCAAAGCTGCTCGGAATGCAGAAGCAACTGCAATAGGCAGTTGGAGTTAAGAATTGAGATCAATACGAAGCCAAAATTCAGTTGTAGGTTCTAGGTTGAAACAGAACATTTCATATATAACATGGAAACTGGGTAATAACCGCTTCTTGAGGCTGGTACATATGGAAAACCAAAGTGGCTGCAAACAAAAGGGATACCTATAAACTGAGATGATCATAAATGCTAAACTTCATACCAAAACAAGGATTCCAAACAATCACCTAAATATCATATTTGGTCCCATTTGCCGCAGCCACTGGATCCTCACGGTTCTGTTCTGCACTCCATCTTCTGATCGACCGTTCTTCGACCGAGTATCCATCCAAAGCCGTCGGAGAAACAGTCCCATGACCGTTTTTATTCACGGTAAGCACCAACAATGTCTTCGCCACGCTTCCACAGAGTCGAATTGTGCAGTAGAGATCAGACCAGACCATCAATCTCCCATCCACACCATCATCACTACTACTCCCCCCTTCTGATAAAACAATCACAGCGTATTCGGAGTGAACCAGGGACGGGTGGTGACGATACGCCACAAAATCGACGCCATACTGCGACCCTGGCCTGACCACCCAGTTCTTGGTTCGAAGATAGGAGTAAGCTTTATAGTAGTGTGGGAAATTCGCAATCTTGGATTTCATGTACTGCCATAGCTCTGCAATGGTGCAAGTCGTACCTTGGTGGTGGGTGATTTTGAGGCAACCCAGATGGTGGGAAAGATAGAATGCTTCCTCTAGACTCAGCTGAAACCATTGATTGACCTTATCGGCGGTGATGATGGGCCGGCCGAAACAGGCGCGAGTGAGAATCTCGGCGTGTTGGGGCTCTACGGGCAGGAGCGCGTTGCTTCCCGAGAGTGAAGCGTGAGCGTCTGATTGAAGGAGGGAAGACTGGAGGTCGGAGACGATTTTCGACATGGGATCTGCGAGAGCTTTCGCCTCCGCCGTCCTGCCTTTCCATCTCGGCGCCATCGGAATCAAACAGAGAATCAAATCCCTCGTTTTCTTCTCCTTTGTTTCTTAATCCCTCCCTCGGTGTATCACTTGCACCAATTGTGGAACAAGCGGAGGGCGCTAGTTCGTTGATGCAGGGGGGAAATAAGCAAATGACTAAGCAAGCACTTGGATTGATAACAGTTTCAGAATTCGGCGTGTATTAAGAAGTTCGCCGTCGGCGGGTTCACCTTCGTGGAGTTCTACCTCCGCCAGCCTCCAAAATCCCCCCAGGCGGGAGGGCGAGTTTTGTTATGGTCTGGCCTGTTTAAGCGGCCCAGTAAATGAGCACTAGGCCTGTACCATTGAAACGTCACTGAGCCCAAAATCGGCTTACAGTGTACAGATACAGAAAAATGTTGGCCCGTCTGAGCCCAATAATAGTTTCTGTTAGAACAGGATTCAAGATTCGGTACGGTTTCTTATCGGTTTTCGATTAAAATCGAAACCATTGAAGTACAAACCGAATCGGGATAAAAATCCGAAATGAATAGTATCTCTCTGTTTCAATTTAAACTGAAAAATCGAATCCAATTTCTCAACCTTAGCCGAGTCGAGTCGATTGAGGGTGGAAGAGGAAGACACAATTAGGGAATAGGGATTGTGAATTTTTTTTTTTTTTTGTCTGAGAAGACATCACCCTTTGTGGAATTTGAATTATTTTATTTAATTTTTTGTCGCGCTGAACGGGTAGATCAAAACCGGTAGGTTTACCGGTGTATCGTGATTCAATCACTAAATACCACCTGATGCTGTTTTTTAAAGTCCCTTTGCTCATATCGTGCCAATTTGTCCCGGGACCGTTGATACAGTACGATTTCACTCCTTTGCTAATAGTAGTTACATTGCTGCTATAGCATCAAGCAGCAAAACTATTCCGCTAATATCCCAATTATTAAGCAAGCTGGAACTTTTTTATAGCCCTCAAAATATATTCATGAGCGATAAAACAACTTCTCAAATTCCTAGTATAAATTTCCCAACAAGCAAACCCCTGAATTTATAAGTTATAACCACAACACACTAACTGCTGGCCGGCGGGATGCTTCTTCTATCCTGTATTTATTAAATTTCAAAATTCGGGAAGAAGCTCCAGAGAGAAATAAATAATGGATGTTACTATTTTTCAAGATGGGGAAGCCCCCAGCCCACAGTGCCACAGCTGGCACGTTACCAACGGTTTCCAACTGCCGACGTCAACCATGACCTGGCTACCTCTCTACCTCCTTGCTCATTTCCCGAAGTCAAACGTAACGGATGCTTCATAACGGGAACTTCCCTCTGGCAGATCGGCTGAATAATTCAACACCACGTGCACACAAGAACAAGCTGCGACGAAAACAGAGGAGAACGAGATAGCCCATTATCTGGAATAGAATGAATAATTTGGGACTCCTGATTTCTCACAAACTCCGCCGATGTTCATAACAAGACAATCACTCAAGAGAATATCCCTAATCATGCCGCCTAACCACCACTTAACTGTCTAATAACAGTTTCCTCGCCACATATTCATGGCCCTCTTAGCTGGAGGAGTTCGTTGTAGACTTGTTATTTTCAACTTTTGACGAAACTAATTCGGTATTACATAAGCATTTGCTTGTGTCGTTGGATAATGGTTCGGATGTTTCGCGATCCATAGTTCTTAGACGCGACTCACGCTAGGAAAGCCAAAGTAAATTCGGACAGCAACTCTGTTCTCGTGGAGGAAGGTTCTTTAGTGGTAGATCATTAGTTGAAAAGGTCGTATGAGAAAGAACATTTCAAAACGTTTGTTCTAATTCCACAAAGATGAGACAAATATTGACGCGCAATTTAGGTGACAAGTAGGGTCAACTTTTGCCAGGCAGTTTCAACCAAAGAAAACTTTCCAGAACACAAGCTATACCCTTTCAGTTGACATATCTAGAAAGAAAGCCAGAGTCTTCTCATAAATAATTGCAAACCTGAACTTTCATTTCCTAGTGATTTCTCAAGCAAAATGAGCGATGTTCCTTTCCTATACATTTTATGGTACAGTGATAAACAATTAAGACGTCTTTCGCGATACTCTAGCTGCTCTCAAGCATCAACAGCTAGCTTGTGTTCCTCGGATTTCAGTGGCAACCTGTTGCTCTGAACGTCTTCGTCCTCATCGGACCATCTATGGCCAGCCTCCACCATAAGTTTCTGAATGGAAAGAGATAGACAGGGTTGATATAAGAAGGAAGGGATTAATGGAATGGATGCAAATGCTTGCTAGTTCAAAGACGAAAAGGGTTCTCGGACACTCCTTACCTGGTTCAGTGCAGAATCACTCTTTAGTTCGAGTTGGCGTATTTCTTGCATCGTCATCCCAAACCATTCATCGATCCACGAAAAGCAGTTTCGATGGCTCTCCAAGAACAGAGCCCTTTCCCCCTGCAATTTACCAAATGGTGGCAGAAACTTGGTCTGTTCAGTAAGAACTAAAAGAGCAGATGTCACATTTGATATATATGTGGAAGAGGTGTTTGAGTAATACCGCGATTAAGGCTTGTTCAAGCCTGTAACCGAAACCCCAGTACGGGGCATCCACTATTACCAACTTATATGCTGTCATCACAGGGTTACTACTCTTCTGCAAAGCACATACACTCCACAATCAATATAACCTACTAGAAGATGCTTGAAGAAGTACAAGGTGAATAATTCGAAAGTGGGAATTATACCAACCTGCCATCCCTCCAAAAGAGGACCACGGCCAGTTCTTGTCGACTTGAATTTAGTGAAATCTGTAGTGTTGCTACCAACAATGTAACTCCAATAATCGTTGGCTGCTGAAGCTATATCAATAATCTCAACCTCTCTTGCGGCTAGTTGTTCTTTGGTTAAACCGTGCACCTATTATTGCATGGTTCGTTCACGGTCAAGAGATGCAACAGAAGAAAAATACTAGCATGAAGAAATGAAAACACCAACAAGAAGTTTAAGGAAAAGAAACCCACATTTTCTGAATCTCCATTGTCAGCTTTATGAATTGTATCCACAGTGAGGCAAAACTTGCTGAAGTATGGGCACTGCAGGAATTCAAACAAATTGGATTCTATAAGATTTCTTTTATAGCATAACAGCTTATCAGCGCATAACAAAAATCTTAGAAAATGGCAGTCACATAATAGTTGGGAATATTGAAGTTTTTACCTTGATTACTGATTGGAATAGCATTGCATCCATTCATAATGGAAAACGGAGAGTCAGTACAGAGAATAGAAGGAAACATATTGAATATGATGTGATAAAGATAATTGAATCAGAACAGTTTCTTTCCAAAAAACCAGAAAACAAACCTGTTTTGCATCTCGGATATGAATTCCAGGCCTCTTCTTGCATGATCAGGGACTCCAATGATGCAAAAGCTTTAAGCCAAGTAGGTGCTTTGCTGCAAGAATAAGGCACAAGAACAACCACAAGTTAACCCCCAATCACTCGCGTCCCTTGTATATATCCACCCGCCATGGCTATCCCTAAAAGCTGACCAATTAACTTATCCATGCGCCTTTTAACCTTCCATACACATGCATATTTGCTTCAATACATCAAGACAACACGCCAGAGCTAGAGACTAGAAAGCTAGCATAACTTGAAAATAATGGTCATGCCTCATAAGCTATAAGACTTTACCTCTGGAATCGATAGAGTTTAGAAGTGTACTGGGACTTGCCCATTTGATCATCAACAACGGGCCTGTTCTCCAGCACTTCAACACCCTCGGAGCCGTTTGTGTTCTGCTGCTGCATCCTCATCACCATATACATCTGAGCCACCTGATACTGCAGCAACCAAGTATCCCCACAAATCATTCCATTAGCCGAAGGGGACAAGAAAGGTCACAAATTTCAAACACCCAAGGCAAATTCATCAAATGGGTACCTCTTCCACGGACATGGGCATCACAATACGACTTCAGACAGAAATCAAACACAAATTTCCGAGGTTAAGGAAGACAGGGAAGCGCCCAAGTACAAAAATGGGGAAAAAAAGCAAATTCAAACGACGAACACGATCATTAATTCATAACCTAACGAAGCACGGAGAAGTAAAAAGGATACAATTCTTTGATTTGAACCATGGTTCTGCGACACCCCCGAGTCTTCGCCTGAAATGGGAAGAAAGCTGGCGTTTTTCCAAATGGAGAGGAATTGGGATTGGAAACGAGAGGGCAAAAGGGTTATGGGTGAAGCGGAATGGGCAGAGGCTAGTGGTGGATGAAGACGATTAGGATGATGAATTGATGATGATGGGCAGGGCGTCAAAACCCAAAAGGGAGCAGACGAGTTATTTTATCGGGGCGTTGAGAAATGTGCTGAATGGTAGGACGGTCGGAAGAGCCGCGGCTGTGGCTTTTAGCGATTCAGTCTTCAGCTTAGCGAATATTTGCGTCGAGACTCAAATCCTGGTTCTCGAGGGGTTTTTTGATTTGGCGTAAACGTGTAGTTGTATGACTTTTATGCAGAGAAGACCGGCTTGCCTCGTTTCAGATTCTGCGTGTTGTATTGCGCTGTTGGTCGGCTTCGGCGACGGGCACTTTTTTGCTGGCATATTCGTTTGTTTGAATTTTCAAGTGGGTGGCTCAAGCCCACTACTTTGGGCCCAACTCATTTTAATTTTATCTCACATAGCCATTGCAATTGCATATTACAATTAAATAAAATGGCTAAATTACACGTTTGGTCACTCAAATTATACAAATCTTTCACGTTTGCCACTCAATTTACTTTTCTTTCCTATTCGCCACTAACTTTACGAATCGTTTCACCGTTAGTCACCGACCGTTACACTCCGTTACCTTTGTCGTACGCGGTAGTCAACTATGAAGTTTGACTGTTAACTAGATGACGTGGAAATTAAAAAAAATATTTTTCCACCTCATCATTTCAAATTTATCATATTAATGATTTAATAAAAAAATAATAAATGGCAAAAAATAATATGATAATTAATTAATTTTTTATCATATTCTTGACGGACGACGGGGCCGCCACCGTCTGCACCATGTTCTTCCTGAACGATCACACTGGCGGCCACCCCATCACCTGTGCCCTACATTTTCGTGTAAATACATAAAAATTATTACTCAAACAACCACTAAGCTAGCGCAAATATAAGGTAGAGTGATGGTTTGGATATGTTCATCTGAACCATTTTACTAGTTACACAAAATTCTATTATCAAATAAAACTAGATAAGATTTTAAATAGCACTGGGTCAAATACCTAAATTGAAAAAATTGATAAGCACTAAACTAACTCTGGATCCGGATAAGGGCTGGGCTGGGGCCTGGGTTGGCCCAGCCCTGGATCCGCCACTGGGTGTCATAATAACCTGGGTTCCATGCTAACAAACTAGCATCAGAGTCTAACACCGAAACGAAAAGGATACTTATGAACCCATAATATATAATCTCTATGAGCCAAACAAGTTTATCATAAGCTTGCTATCTGTAAATGAGACGGTATTTCCACTTACTTGGCAGGAGGCTTGGCCGATCTAGATTAGTAGTGATGGCCGGGTGAGGTCAGTTGGAGTTACGACGCCTAAAGGTAGAGGCAGAACCAAATGCCATCCTGCTCCACTACAACCGCCGGTTCTCTCGTCTTTATTCTCGCCTCCCGCGGAGTCACCATCTTGCCTCAGGAGTTCTTCAAAATCGACGCCCTCGCTTGCTGGGCAAGCTCCTGCGCTGAGACGACGTCATTCTTCAAATTATCGAGGTTATTTCTATTTTATTGATCGGGAATTCCATCCCCAACTGTTGGGTTTCTAGGGTTTCATTGCATTAGAATTGACTAGTGTGGGCCCCGACCAGTTGGTCGGAGGAAGGTGATGTATGAAATTTGATAATTTAACGGGGTGTATAGCTTATTGTTGTATAGTTTTTTTTTGGAAAATTCGTGATAAAAATAGTGAATTTTAGCAGGAAAGAGACATGAATGATGCAATGAATAAAAAATCGGTCTTATGAACCAAAATCAAGTACGTGTTACCTTGTGAAACAATATTGTTTTTGGTAATATGATGAGGTGGAGTAAGTTTTATAGAAACCGAATTCCATAATCGAATAAAAAATCGCTTATCTCGTCGGTTTTCGGGAAATGAGCATCTCACAATCGTTGCTAGCTTTTACTCGGCCCGTTGGTCGATTAATTTGCTTCATAAAACTGTCATCTTGTCGTCATTGTGCTTTCTGGTTTTTGTTAGGCCATGATAAAATCTAGGCCTAATACCAGGAAAGGGCCTATAGTTTTGACTTTCTGTCATTTGTACCCCTATGTTTGTCTCGCGTCAGTTTTGTCCCAACGTTTGGTGTCCGTTATCTTTGACCATTAATAATCAACAGTCAAAATTTTGACCGATGATGTGGCATATGATGTGGTTTAATTTGCCACGTCAGTTAAGAAAAATGAAATAATAATAATAACTATAAATATAACTTCTGATTTTTTACAAATAAATAAATAAATAAATAAATAACAAACTAAAAGTAACAAGACGTCTAGTCGTCTACTTAGCAAGTAGCAAACCCCTCTCACTGCAAAATTATGAGCAGGAGAAGAAGAACGATCTTCTTTCTCGTGTGGTATCACCGCCACTAAGACTTCTTTATATTCCAAGCTCATTCCTCCTCCGGCGACCCCCTTTCACCAACGATCCCTCTCTCCGCCTCTTTCCTCTCTTGAATCCAGATCAATTGAGGCCGCTTCTTTGTTGTTCTTTTTCTCTAATCCCAGATCTGGGAGCAAAGCTTCAACTGGAGAGGGGATTGATTGATAGATCTGGGAGGAAGACAAATTGGCATCTGAAGACCGCCAGGTGGAGGAGAAATTCGCCGGCCAATTCAAGCTGTCGGAGGACTGGATCGGGCTTTGCACGGAGCTAGCCGGAGTGATTAAACCCACCAAGGCGGTTGCAATGTTCCAAAAGCAACTTCGCTAGTGGGCGTCGCTTCCGCCGGAAGCTCCTCGCGAACTATATCGGTAGGAGGTCTCAGCTCATCCTCTCCGCTATGACGAAGCCCCCATTCCTCTTGGAGAAACTTCGACTCTTTAGATCCGGCGCCGATGAGGGAGGGCATCACGATGGGTGAGCAATCAACGACGTAGGAATGAGCACGGTCTGACGATGGTGGAATTTGTCGTCGTCGAGCAGGAGCAGGGAGAGGACATGGCAGAAGCCTTTTTCCGATAGCCATTTCTCTTTTTAAGGGAAAATTGATATTTTTTTTACAAGATAGAAAGTAATATTTTTGGTGTGGGTGTAAATATTTTTTTATTTAAATTTTGAAAATATTGTTTTATGACATGTCGATGACATGGCAGACACGTTGGCACGAAGTTAACAGAATGTTGACAGCCGTTTGTTTGACCATTAAGTTTAACAGTCAACGAAAAGATGGAGGACAATTTTGACATTGAGACTATAAACTTTGGGACATAAGTGACGCAGTACAAACATAGGGGTACAAGTGACAGAAAGTCCAAACTATAGGACCTTTTCTGGTATTAGGCCTAAAATCTAAGGAAATCAAGAACGAACAACACGATTTGGGATAGGAACCGCCGTTGTGGTATCCCTAGAAAATGGTGGTAAACACAGACTCACCTGCAAAACTGGTTTGGATTGAGATTTTTAACGGGTATTAGAGAACCATGTGATTATAAATTAGACTTGATCAAAACGGGCCAAAACTTGAAATTCAGCATGTTTGACCGACCCATGCCAAATTCTAATTATTCTTTACTTTTAAAATTTCTATTTGAAAATAAAAAATAGTGAAAAAAAGAGATGACTGCAATTCGCCATTTGCACATCACTTATTCGAGAATAAAATCATAAAAATTGAAAAGGAACTGAAAATGTTTAGGATAGTTTTAATGTTTAAAATAACCAAATAGATCGTTCTGTTTAGTTTTTTACTAACAAATACCAAACGATTCCCTATAAAATACACTATAATTTGATCATTATGATATCAAATAATTATATAATATATATTTGAAATGATAAAAATTGGACTAATTGGGTTGGTCGAGGTTGAACCATTGAATAACTTTAAAATACATTATATTTTAGCCACTAAGATATAAAATAATAGCATAATATATATTATGCCAGAGAAAATAACTTGTTTTAGAATGACAAACCAATGATGTTCATTTGTTTTACTTGATGGCCAAATCCCGTGTAGGTCAGACCCATTCAACTCTTTTATTTTATGATTAGCGGTTAGCCCATTAGATACCATGCATTAGTTTATTGTTAAATTTTTTATTTTTAGCAATAAAAAAGTATTGTTTTTGCCTTTTCATATATATTTTATCACCAGGGAGAAATAAAAGGGCTTAAAGAAAAAAATCGACACTCCTGGACCCGTTTAAATCCGCATGTGTACGGTAAGTTGGCCCGTTCCACAGAGGAAAGAGAAAAAAATTGACACTCTCTATTCTACCCTTCCTACAAACGCTCCTGGAGCAGAGAATTTGAAATGGGTGAAGAGTTTTTTCCTCCCTGCTATTATATATTTTTAATTTAAAAAGATACAACAAATGTACTTAGTGTGATTGGTTATGATCCTTGCTTTTCTTTAAAATGGTCATGGTTCGAATCCCAGTACGTGTCTTTTTAATGAATAAAAAAAAGTAATTGTGAAGACCAAAATGTCCTTCCTACTTTCACTCTCGTTGCAGGAAATTTGAAATGGGGCTCCCGTTTTTCCCTTCGGGTGTATTATATTATGTGTAGATTATTGTTGCTATAACAAGTAGATACTTACAAACCTAATGATTCTGCCTGCCATGGCAGATTTGGGATTACTCCCATAACACCTCTAGTGGTAGGATTCTTTCATCTCTCTAATTATATAGAGATGCATCAGGTCATCGTGAGATTATTTAGAAGCCACCAACTGCCCGTTGGTGTTTTGATATCTCCATCGTCGAAGCAAGCAAGTAGTAATTATATAGAGATGCATCAGGTCATCGTGAGATTATTTAGAAGCCACCAACTGCCCGTTGGTGTTTTGATATCTCCATCGTCGAAGCAAGCAAGTAGAGGAGGTTGAGTTCGTTCGTCAACAGGGGTTAGTTTGAGGTAGGTGAAGACCCTTTGCACAAACCTAGACAGTAAGCACGACATGGGGAAAGCTCATGAGCACATGGTGGAGTTGCCGGCCACGTTGAGGAGGAAGAGGAGTAGCAGAGTGTGATGGTGGTGGTGACGGGTGAAGGTCATGTCATATTACTTTTTGTTATCTATTAGTTTTTATTAAATAGTTAATATGATAAATTTGAAATGACGAGGATGAAAAATATTTTTTTTTAGTTTTTTAATTTCCATGTCATCTAGTTAACGGTTAAAATTTATAGTTGATTGCCACGTAGGACAAAGTTAACTGAGTGTAACGGTCAGTGACCAATGATGAAAAGATTCATAAAATTAGTGGCG